CTGGGGGAAAGCTGGCCGGGGGGGCCGCTCCTTGGGGACTGGCTGGGCATCGGTCAGTAGGTGGTGAGCAATTGCATTGTGCATCACTCGCTTTGTATATTCTATTATTATTATTACTACTATTTTATTTTATTATTAAACTTTTTATCTCAACCCATGAGTTTTCTCACTTTTCCAATTCTCTCCCCAGTCCCATCAGGGCGGGGAGTGAGCGAGCGGCTGTGTGGTGCTCAGTCACCAGTTGGGGTTAAACCACAACAACTTGTTAGTTGACTTTACATTGAAGGCAGAAAAGTGTAGCAGTATTTCATAGAGGAGGAAGTGATACCCTTCACAATGGTGTCTTAACCTCTACTCATGGTATACTGATGTGGAATATTGAAATGGTATCAGCAATTTCATTGAGAACCAAAGATTTTTTTGAGCTTGCAGGTTAGTAGCTGCCATCTTAAACAGATACTGGGTACCTTGACATCTCTCAGAAAATACTCTTGTCAGCTCAAAACTTAGATTGATAGAGATGAGGTTTTTATCCTCTGGTGCCAACCTACTGTTTGGAAAGTGGTTTTTTCCCCGTAAGGAATTAATTTTTTTTTTCCACACAGTTTTTGGCCAGGAATTCATGTTGTCCGTGGACAAAATATGTTCTATATAGTAGGTCAAGTCTGTAATGACCAGCTTGTTGTCATGCATTTGTCACTAATTTTGTAGGTATGAAGAAAGTTTCGAAGTGGAATAGGTCATGGAACAAAATAAAGTGCACTGTGCATCTGTTATAGCCCTTTAGAGTTATCTTTACTGGTGCAAATTTTTTCTAGCAGAGAATATTTATTTTTCTCTTCTGTTGTCCTCGAGGGAGGAGGACTTGTTAGCTTTCACAGTTGGGAATGTGAAATTTTCTGAATAGTTCTGCAAGAGTGCTGTATGAAGTTTGCAGATATCTTTACTCCTTGCCCCTCAACAGGAGGATCAGGACTGCCATATTTTCTGATTACGACTTTTTTTTTTTTTTTCCCTTCTGATTTGGCTATTTTGAGTCTTACCTAGGGATGTTTGTGGCTTTGAGAAAATAAGCAGAACCAATTTGTTTGATCAGTATTCCTGACTTCTTCCTGCATTTTAGAGCTGAAGTCAGTGCTGAACAGATAAAAATTGAAGTGTATAATTTTCTGCTTATTGGGTTTCAGGGAAAACTTATGGTAAGAATTCATTATTGAAAATGTGTGGTGATAACTGTAGCTGATACCTACAGGCCTAGATTAAATAAAAGGGATTTGGGGGCAAATGAAAATGGTAACTTGCAATGCTGATATAATGGGATACTCAGATTGTTTGAATTAGACTGCTTGGGAAGAGATTTTGAAAAGCAGCCTTACAGTTACATGGAACTGAAGGGCTTGTGTCCTGGTTTTTGGATGCCAAGGAGGTTTGTTTCTTCAGCCAAGGGAGATTTTTTTCCTTTCTCTTTTTCTTCCTCCTTTCTCCATATGGTTCATCACTTAAAACAACTGCGTAGGATTTATGAATCCCATGGAAAACTATGAAAAGAGAATACACAAGTATTGTTGAATCCCCAAGTTGAGACTCAGATGTTGTTGAGTTGAAGAGGTGGGACTGAAAGTGTGAGATACTGAATGTTATCAAGCATAATTTTCAGAGCACTGCGAGCTGAATAAAAGATTGTTCTAAGATACCTGTGTAAAGTTTCATACAATAATTAGAAAAACGCAGGTAAATATTTATTTTCTTGTCATTGTAGAGGAGAAGAGATCACAGACTCCATAAAGAAGGTAAAGTTTAGCATTTACAAATCTCTGAAGAACTCTGACAAGAAAAAATAGTGTTGAATGTTTTTTCCCATCTTACATTCAGCTCCAAAACATAACTAGTTTATCATTTCTGTATGCTCAGGTTGCTCTGTACCTCTTTTAGAGTTCTGTGGAATCGTATTGTGAAGGTACAGAACTGATATGTGAGTTAAAATAAAAAATTATATTAAAGATAGTTTTTTAAATGCAAAGACAAAGCAACGCAAGGTAACGGAGGCCTGCGCTTAGTAGTAGGTTATGTGAAATAGTGTTCTCTCACTTGTCTGAGAGTCACAGCTCTTTCTTTATGAATACATATGGAGTCATAGCAAATCTTTCTGAATATTTCTCCTTTGCCCTCTAGGAGTCATTGTTTAAGAAGATGCTGTGGAGTGGTTGATAACTCACCAAAATAAAATTAACAGCTCTTACAGGGTATGCAAAAGCCATAAAGAGTACTTACAGATCACACACAAGGACAGCTAACTTTTATGGTCTTTTGTTTGACTGGCTTAAAAAAACACCTTAATTGTCCAACAGGCGAATCCAGGAACGGGATAAACAGCGGCTTGATCGAGTGCAACCAGAAGAAGAACTTCAGTGGCCAAAAAAAATTCAGGAAGATGAAAAGCAAAAAAGGGAAGAAATAACCAAGAAGAAGGAAAGTGAGGATAAGGGGAAACAGGAAATGCAAGAGAAACTGAGTAAGCTTTTCCAACCACATCAAGAGCCAATCAAGCCAGCTGTCCAGGCTCCTTGGTCAAATGCAGGTAGAGGAAAAAAACCAAGAAATGCTGTTGCACATGCCTCTTGAACAATTCTTTTCTGTTTTGTCTTTCCATTTAATACAGAAGAATATTATGTTTCAGGATCGGATTGCTAGTCTTATTAAAGTAAATCATGTACGGATGGAGCTCTAGGCTCCAAAAGTTACTCTTTTAGGCTTCACTATTCTTCCTAAAAGTATGGTGTTTAGCGGAGCGTAAAGCAGTTGGTAAGACTCACAGTGCCAACTGAAGAGAGAATCTTAGCTGTAAGTTGTTGAAAGATCTTGATGCAAGATGTCAAAAATTATTTCTGCACTTTTCTTTATAATTCTTATTTTGGTGTGGAATATATTGCTTGGGATTTTTTAGAGTAGTAGCAATATGTTATTTAGTTATCCTTTTTCCTCTTCCCCCTTCCCATGCATGTTGTTTACTGAACAAATGACCGGAAGTCGAAGATTTAATCCCCTTTTTTCTGCTACACACACAATCACTTTTGGCTGAGAGCTTTTTCCCTGCATTATAACCTGATTTTTGCCTGTATTGGGAATCATGGTTCCCTCTTAAGGGGCTTTGCTACATACACAAAAGAACTGATTGCAAATGTAATATTTGTTTAAATATTTGAACAAAGGATTGCATAAAGGGGAAATTACCTTCTGTCTTTTAGCCCAAATCTAGAATTGACTTGATCTAATATGTCCTCTTGCTAGGTTTTATTTGTGCAGAGTAGCAGAAGGCACTCTTATGACCGAATAGGCAAAATAGGAAGTGCATTATACAAGAGCAATTTAGCTTCTATCTTTGGGGGTTTTCTGTATTCTTCTTTTTCGAATAATGCATCTTTAGCATGTAACTTTTTTAAAACACCATCTGTAAGTGACCTCTTTTCAGCCAATCTGTATGTATCAGGACATTTTGAAACATCTTTCTTGGAAGTATAGTCAGGCTGCAAATGAAGCTGCTATACAACCAGGCTCTAAAAGCATTTGGGATACCATTGACAGATGCAAGAACTGTTTGAATTGAACCTATGGCTGATCAGATTTAACCTACAAAATCATTGAAGCATTTGAGAAGTCATATATGTTGCGTCATAAGTACATGATTCTTTCTATGAAAATAGTTGCATGTACCATAAAAGTTAAAATATAATAATATTTTACCTGATGTTTAGAAGAGAAAATAGTAAGAAAATTGTATTTTAAACTCATTTTCATATTTCCCCTTGTGTGAAAGGGGGATAATATACTTCCTACAGACAGTGTAAGGTTTGTTAATTTTTGTCTCCACTTTTACCTTATCTTTCAAATATTTAAAAATAATGTGTTTTGATCCCCCCCCCTTGTGTCTGTGTGTTTTTTTTCTTTGCTCAGAAAAAGCTCCCCTAACCATTTCTGCTCAGGAGGATGTAAAAATAGTGTATTATAGAGCACTGTATCCTTTTGAATCAAGAAGCCACGATGAAATCACTATTCAGCCTGGCGACATAGTCATGGTAAGAAGGGATCGTGATATTACTTGAAAAAATTACTTAAGCTTTTGCACTTGTGTGATTGAAATTATATATGGTAAGATTTTTTTACAGACTTGAGAAAAATATTTCAGTGAATACCAAAATGATGTGATATGACATAGTTACCCTATTATAATAGCGGATAGCTTCTTACAGTTCATTTTAAGTGTAAAGTTTAAACATAATCTATGAGTAGATCGTATCAGTTTTAGTATGCTGAGCTGTGTGTGTCTGTCACTGTTTGAAAAGGTTCCTATACAGAATTTATCTCAGTGAGAGGTTTCTTGTCCTCCAAGGTACCTAGGGAATAAAGTTACTGTTATTTTCTGTTGAGAGAGTGGCTATTATGTGTGGAATCAAAAACTGGCTTTGATAAATAAAGTATGTTTCTAATAAGAAATTTACCTTTTTATAAGAATAGTACAAGAACAGTGTAAAAAATTTGGTTGCAGGTGTGTTGATACAGAATTTTAATTTGGAAAATTGCCTTTATTAAGAGACTGTGATGTCCAGTGTAATACTATGTGAAACAATTACGCTAAACTACAAGATGGCTACACTTCTGTCATGATCACATAAACATTAACATAGTTTTTCTATAGTGGTGATACTTATTCAATAATACTGGAAATTTTTTTACAACTCTTGGTGACAATTTTTGACATAATGATCTAGTATAACTGTAACTTGGAATTGTTTGTATGATAATTTACTCTTTTTTTTTCTTTTTATCTACTTAACTCTTTTGTGAGATACCTTTATGTTTATTTTAAAGAGGATATACAGTAGATAAAATATAATTTCTAAATCTAAAAAATGGAAGCTTCAAAACCTAAAAATTTGGTTGCAGGTGTGTTGATACAGAATAATTTACTTTCTTTTTTTGAAGTAGATGATGAGATATGGGGATATGGTCAGCCTATAACTGTCGTGTTAAACTAAAGTGATATTCCGCTTTTGTCTCTAATTATCACTAAAATTATAGTTCTGTGGTTAATGACTGCAGTTATTAAATGTGTATATTAATATTATTGAATTGATAGTATGATCTTAACATGCATATGTCTAGTCATAATGAAAATTCCTAGTGTAACTACTGAATGATACCTTGCTCACTGTGGGAAAGTTTATTCATTATAGTGTTCTACTCGACAAAATAGATTTTAAGAGGTATTGTGTTTTGGCACAATTTAGTAAGAATGGATTTTGGAAAAAATACACTTTGTAGACTCTCATAAGTTGTAATGATAAAGCATGTATTCTGGGGAGATGAGCCTTTATCTCTCAGCCTTTTTGGTTTGGGGTTTTTTTTAATTGATTCAGCTGTGCCGTACTGAAGTGTTTGTGACATTAAAATCTGCTTTTTGAAAATAAAAGGTGGATCCTGGATTAGCAACACTACTGAATGACTTGGGAAGAGGCCCAATGTTATTCTGAATAACAATGCAACGTGTTGTTATTCTGCATCAAGAAATAGTATTGGTCAGTCAGCTGTTAAATGAGACAGGATACAGGTACATGGGTCTCCTTAGGCTATTGAAAAATGCTGTGTTGTCTTGCTTTCTTGGGAAATAGATTGTAGTCTAGGCATATAAGTAAACTGTTTTTTTTCTTGAGGAAGAGTGATCACTATTAGGTAGACTTGCAGGGAAATAACATTTTTACCAAAAATACATGATTTTAAGGAGACTTCAGATGTTTTAAATAGAGACTGTGAGGTAATCTGAGTCTTCCTGTATGTTACTTATGGACTTTATTTTAACTTACTCTATGAAAGTACAGTAACTACTCTCAATTTTCTTTATTTAACTTACTTTTGACAGTAATTAAACCTGATGATTGACTCTTGTGGGATTTATCTCCTGCTCTGTAGTAATTGCTTAAATGGGCTACTCTTAGAAAAGTTGATATAAGAAAGGCACTTTTATATAAGAAAGCACTTTTGTGAAATGTGTTACAATTCTGCCTTGCTTAAAATCATTGCTTTCCTGATGGAGGCTAAAAGGGAATGGGTAAGCATGCTATATGACTGCTAGGAAGTGTTATGGTTTAACCCCAGTTGGCAACCAAGCACCACACAGCTGCTTGCTTACCCTCCCTGTCCCGATGGGATGGGGGAGAGAATCGGAAGAGCAAAAGTGAGAAA